GACAGGGTCTCACTATGCAGTTCAGGCTGGCCTTGAGCTCACTTTGTAGCCCAGGCTGGTCTCAAACTCGAAACGATCCTCCTGCCTCAGCCTCCTGACTGCTGGTATTACAGGTGTGTGCCACCACACCCAGAAACATGCTTAATTTTTTAAACATGCTTAAAATTTTTTTTGGTACTGGGGACTGAACTCAGGACCTTGTGCTTGCCAGGCAGCTGCTGTGCAGCTGAACTATATCCTGGCCCTAACATGCTTCATTTTTAAGAAACTGCCAGACTGTCTTTCAGTGTGTCTGCATCATCTCCTATTCTTACCAGCCATTTGTGAGAGATCCAGCTGCTGTGTCTGCCTCATTGTTTGGGGATACCTCTACTCACTTCATCCAGATATCATCTGCATTTCCCTTAAGACTGGTGACATGGAATGTCTCATTTGCCAGCTGTTTACCTTTGATAAAATGTCTGTTTCTTTTTTTTTACTGGGGACTGAACCCAAGGCCTTGAAGCCTTGAACTATGTTCCCAGGCAGTCCTCACTTTTTGAAAAAGATCTCCAGAAGTTACTAAATTGCCCAGGAAGCTAGGCTTAAATTTGTAATCCTCCTGCTTCATCTCCTAAGTGCTGGGATATAGGCCTGTGCCACCACTCCCAGCCCCATTCTTTGTGAGTTGAGTGACTTTTTTATTGACTTGTAGGAGTCCTATTTTCTAGAGATGGACTGTTTCCAATTACATGAATTTCAGATATCTCTGCCCTCCGCTACCTGCCCTTTTCCTCTCTTTATTTTATTTTATTTTTTTTGGTACCGGAGAATCGAACTCAGGTCCTTATGCTTGCCAGGCAGGCGCTTGTGCTGCTGAGCTATAACCCTGGCCCTTCCTCTCTTGATATGGTATAGAGGAACAATTAAAAATAATTTTGTGGGGCTGGGCCCACTGGCACAATGCCTGCCTGGCAAGCGCAAGGTCCTGAGTTTGATTCCCAGCACCAAAAATAAAAATAATTTTGTGTTAATAATTAGTAAATATAGTTTTATGATTAGTAGGTTTTTAAAATTTCTTTTAAATTTCCCTACCTTCTCATGCTTGTATTTAAAAAGTGTTTCTTGTTTTTATCATTTAAAAACACCGGTAGAAAGCCAGGTGTGGTGGTGCATGCCTGTGAGGCTAAGGCAGGAGAATCATTGAGAGTTCAAAACCAGCCTGGGCTACAAAGTGAGCTCGGGTTGGGGATTTAGTTCAGTGGCACAGCGCCTGCCCGGCAAACACAAGGTTGTGAGTTCGATTCCTGGTACTGGGGGAAAAAAATAAAGATATATTCATCAATGTCCCCAACTGTGGGCTGGGGATTTAGCTCAGCAGCACAGCACCTGCCTGGCAAGTGCGAGGTGGTGAGTTCGATTCCAGGTACCGGAAAAAGAAAACAAAAACAAAACAAAACAAAGTGAGCTCAAGGCCAGTCTGAACTTCATAGCGACACCATCTCAAAAAAGACCAAAAAAATTAAAAACACCGGTAGAAGCCCTAGCTGAACACTGGTACCATAGCATCAGTCCACCACAGCCTGGGCTCTTCTTTTGGTGCTTGTGTGATTCTTTTTATAAAACAAGGATGAGGTTCCCTAGGACCAGGCACCTCTGACCCTGCTCGGCCTTGAGAAGAGTGGCCACCTCTGTGGTCCCTAAGAAGAGCTCCTGCGTGCAGGTCAGGGTATGAGAAACTGTGTCCCTGTCTTTTCTATCAAAAGATATAAACAGCTAGGCATTGTGTAATCCCAGCACTGGGGAGGCTAAGGCAGGAGGATTGCTATGAGTTCAAGGCCAGCCTGGGCTACATAATGAGTTCAGAGCCAGCCTGAACTGTATAACAAGACCTTGTCTCAAAAACAAACAAACAAAAGATATAAACAGGAGTGCCTTCATTTTAGACTCGAGCAACACCCCTCACACTGAAATTATGGGAAATGCTTACATTGTTTTGTTTTGTCTTTTTGAGACAGGGTCTCACTATGTAGTTTAGGCTGGGCTTAGCTTACTTTGTAGCCCCAGCTAGTCTCAAACTTGCAAGGATCCTCCTGTCTCAGCCTCCCAAGTGCTGGGATTACAGACATGGAGCACCATGCCTATCCTGGAACACCTAAATTTTGGGAACGTAGCTACAGACCAAAGATAGCTTATCAATAGCCAAAGACTTTGTTTCCCATACCTTCTCCCCTCCTGCTCCTCCTTCCTCTCAGAAAACCTTCGGACCCTCCCCTGACCCAGTTTAAACTAGCCAACCAGGATAGATCGCAAGCCTTTCTCATACATTAGGGTTTAAACTCCCCCACTTCCCTGCCAGGAGGTGAGCACCCCACCTCAGGTCTGAGTGCACTCACACCCTCGTGCAGAAGTAAACTTTAAACTTTGCCTTGTGAGTCCTCTTGCTTGCTGTCTGAGTGCATTCTTTTTGGCACCAACAGTTTCAGTTTAGGTGCTTATTTCTAACAAGGGGAAAAAATGGAAGACCTGTTCTAACCATGGAGAAGGAACATCTAAAATCAGAAGTTCAAAACTTACAGGAGAGATCACTGCTCAGACAACTCAGTGGAAGGATGTAAAAAGCTAGGAAACTGCACAAAAGCAGAGCAAATCACTAACTTGTGCATGGACATTTGGTGGTCCCGTCAGCGCCTTGCCAGGTCAGAAGGAAGTGAGCCCTTTGACACCGTGCACCCCAAGACAATGTCTACCTTACCAGAACTGTTAGGTAGCAAGATCCAAAGCAGGCCACCTCCTTGTTTCTCAGATAACAGCATGGCTGGCAAAAGGCCCCACCCCACATGCACACCTATGGCCTCCTGTAGGTGCAGAGAGCCATCTGTATGGTCAGTGTCCCATCTTAATACCCAGGAACGGCCCTGCACTGTGGGTCTCCTCCTCTCCAGGAAGACAGGCCACTATACCAGGGGAGGTGTTCCATCTTCATGGACTAACATAGTCTAGGTTCCTGCTTTCTGCAGGAGGACGCAGATCCTACCCCACCCAGCTTCCCTGCCCTCCCCAAAGCCCAAGAGAGAAGGAGGTCACATCTGAAGTGCTACCCCAGCCTCTGGACTTTATTCTGGGCCACAGGGTAGGCTTGGGGCAGGGTACGAGTCCCCAAGTTGGTGGGAGGGGCACCAGGCCAAAGCCACTAGTTGTAGCTGTTGGGGTCTGTGTCTTCTAGAAGAAAGTAGCGCTGAAGGGCTGGCTGCAGGAGCCGCGGGGGCTGAGCACGAGTGGGCTTGGGCCAGCCTGGGGGGAAGGGCTGTAGTTCCACCCGAGGCAGTGGCAGCTTCAGGGAACGGATGGTGCCATCCAGTGCACGGACACAGTGTCTGGACAGTGCGCGGCCTGGGAGCAAACAGGTAGTGAGGCAGGGGTGGGCCGACAGGGCCTGGCGGGGCTGGCGGGGCTGGTAGTCAGGGTCCACGTGGGATCCTGGGGCCTACTCACCCTTCAGTCTCATCCCAGAGCTCTGGGCCATTGTTTCCTGCAGCCGGAGGATGGGGTGGTGCCTAGGGGAGGCTGGGTTCAGTCAATCCACACCCAATGCCTGCCCCTCAACCTATCACACACACTACCCCTGCACCACACACACACCTACGATCCCGTGGTGGCAGTACCACAGTGTTGGGCTCTAGCAGGGGTGACGTTGTGTGCTGTAGCAAGCTCTCCTGCTGGATACGCTGCTTCTCGCAGAAGTAGTTCAGTGCATCAATGGTGCACAGGTCCAGCATCTTGGAGTGCGACCAGTCAGTCTTTTCGAGAGGCAGCAACTCATCACGCTGCACAGGTGGCACTAGGGGATCCACACGGGCCTGGGGCACCAAGGAGAAGCTCTGTAGCGTCTCATAGAGAAAGTGTTTGGTCCGCTTGGTGTGTATCTGCACAGGCATGGGCTTGGCCTGGAGGTCTGGGCTAGTTGCCTCCTGCTGCAGTTCCGGAATGCTTGTGGATGTCCCCCAGGCCATGGAAGCCTGTGAAAGGGTCTCCTTGGTAGGAGACACAGGCACTGAGGTCTCAGAGACCTTGGGCAGCACCACAGACATCTTGGCTGTAGTCGGCTGTGGGGTTTCCATCTGTAGGGGAAGTGATCAGTTAAGCTCCTTAGCCCCTGAAACTCCTTTCTGCCCCTCTCCCAGGAAGACTGCCTGATTAGGAGGCCTCATCAGTGCAATCTCTGGCTCCAACATCATGCTCTTGCCTAAGCCTCCAATGGGAGCAGGGTTTCCCAGAGATTCTCAGGTCAGAGAATCACAGAGACAAAACTTAAGCAGGCATTCCTGCAGTGCAGTCCCAGCTGGCCCTCTCTGGGGACTTCTAGATGTCTGGAGGTGAGAAGCTCCCTATGGGTGGTCCACCCAGCCCTTGTGCACCAGACCTTCAGCTGCTGGATCATGTCCTCCAGTTTCTGGCAGCAGTGTGCACGCAGCATGGCCTTGGAGTCAAAGTGTGAGCCCCGGACCCAGGTTGTCATCTCCTTGAACAGGAAGCCCTGTGGATCCTGGAGGCCTAGGCCACCCAGGAGCTTCTTGAGCTCTGGGCTAAGACAGATGTGTGCAGCTTAACCCAAGGCCTTCCCAGCTGGCCAGGAGGACTAGCCAAGAACGTGACTCACTGGTAGTCAGCTGGAGAGTAGAGGAAGTAGGACATGAGCTCCACCACCACATCACGAGAATCCAGTGAGCAGGCCAGGAGCAGCTGCAGGGCCAACATCACAAACTGCTTCTGTGTAGGATCCTGAGCACAGGGGTGGGGGTGGCACTATGGTCAATGCAGGAAGTTTGAGCAGTAAGGAAGGGGCTGTTGAGGAGCTTACTTCAAGGCTAGGAGGCTGATCCAGGTTAAGCAACTGCAAGAGACTGCCATGCAGCCGTTTCTGGAGCTCTTGGCTCACATTGGGCACCAGCCTCAGCAGTGCTTGCAGGATATGCACACGGTCTGCCCAGGTGGCTTCTGCTAGCAGGTCCACGAACACTGAGGCCAGACCCTCCATAGTGCCCATCTCCGGGTAGGCCTGTGGGATGGTGTGCTGAGACTCTGCCCCGCCCTGCACCCAGGTAGGCTCTTGCCTTCTCCCCATCCCCCAGCCCAGTCTGTATTTCCAAGCTTCCAAGTCTCCCCCAAACCTCCAGGCTGAAGATGGGGAACAGCTTTTTGAACCAGTTCTGGATAACAAAAAAATACAGGAATCTAGGCAGATGCCCAGAGTAGTACTTCGGGTCAAGGTAGGTCCTAGTCCCTGGGGCCTCATAGGTGGTCAAGTATGTAGAGTTCTAGAAGAAGCAACAGCAGCTGCAGGCCCAGCTCTCTGGGTTGTAGGTACCAAGCCCACCCCTCCTGTAGCAGTCTGGGGTACCTACCGAAGCCTCTGGCCCCCCAGAATTTAGCTGAGAGTGCCGTGTATCTGGGCTTAGGGAAGTCCAGTCGGCCTCTAGCGACTCGCTGTCCTCCTCCTCCTCCTCTTCCTCTTCCTCTTCTTCCTCACTGGAATCCCTGTGAAGCCACTGGATGAATCTCTTCCGCCACTTGCCTATAGACCACCTGTGTTGTGACAGCCACATGTCCATGGTTGGACCAGGCTGCAGAGATGGGAGTGAAAAGGGGAGCATATAGCAGGCTGTAGGGACAGTGAGCCCTGCCTGAACCCCATCCCCATCCCTGACACTTGCCTTTAATCTGTTCTTGGAGGCAAGCTGGGCCAGGGATTCAAGGTAGCTGCCCTCCATGGGCGGCCACATCTGCTGCAGCACCACGGAGTTGGGCACAAAGCCTGGGAAGCTGATGGGCAGTGGGCAGTGCTGGAGGTAGAGCACATCAGGGTGGGCTGAGAACCTTAAATTGCCCAACTGGGATACCACTCAGGGGCACCCCAATGACCATTCTGAGTCTCTCAGCCAGGGGTACAGACTAAAATGAAGCCTTTCCAAGGACCAGACTGGGGGCTGGGGATTTAGCTCAGCGGCACAGCACCTGCCTGGCAAGTGCAAGGTTGTGAGTTCGATTCCCGGTACCGGAGAAAAACCAAACCAAAAAAACCCCAAAAAACAAAAAAAAACCCAAAAACCAAGGACCAGACTAAAATGAAGCCCCTGCTCTCAGCACACAGACAAGCAGGGAAGCCTGTGAAACCAGGTGGAAGGGCACTCCATAAATTGGGAAGTAACGGAGACCCAGAGGACAGCTGGACTCCCCACACGTTCTCCAGGGACAGGGAATATGGAAGAACCTGGGGTTAGAAAACCCAGGAGAAGGGGCTAGGGATTTAGCTCAGCAGCACAGTGCCTGCCTGGCAAGCGTGAGGTCGTGAGTTCGATTCCTGGTACCAGAAAAAAAACAACAAAAAAAAAAAAAAAGAAAGAAAGAAAAAAAGAAAGAAAACCCAGGAGAAAAGGAAATTGGCAGGAAAAAAGGAGCTTGAAGAGAGGGTACTACAGGGCTTGGGAAAGTGGGGATACCCAGACTGTGAGGTCAGGGACCCACATTGGCAGGGCTAGGTGTGCACTTGGTGAAGCTTGGGTCTCCCTAGGAACCTAGTGTGGAGTATGAAAATACTATGGATCTTGAAGGCTCAGCTTCCCCTGAACTTTCTCCCCTGAAGTGCCTGGATTCCAGTCACTCCCACTGGGGAGAAGTGGTACATGTAGGGCCAGTAGTGTGGAACCCCTGGCTCAGCTACTGGCCTGGCAAGCAGCAAGGAGCCTGTGCCCAGATATAGCTGCACCAGGCTAGGCAGGCAGCTGTGGAGCCCGTGGCCTTTGAGTCAAATTTGGAGAGGGTTTGCAGCAAACCTGGGATGCAGAAGAGTGAACCCCAAAGGTGATACCTTGGGGGGAAGCTTAGAATCTCACCTTGTAGGGATATGTGGTGGCAGGAAAGAAGCCCTTGAGGTTTGAGAGAGGCTCCTTGGGCTGTCTCTGCCGCAGTAGTGGGATCTGGGAAGGGGAGGGGAAGGAACTCAGGGCAGAACACAGCCTTTAGAGTCCCTGAAGCACTGCCTGAGGCAGACGGCACCCCACCTGCCTGAGTCCCTCACCCTGTGCTGCAGGAGGGAGGGCAGCGGTTCCAGGGCCATGGTCATCTCTTCTTGTACTTGCTCTGATTGCAGCAGTAGATCCAGACTGAGGCCCAGGTCATAGCTCAGGGAAGAGCGGGCTAGAAGCTAGGACATCCAAGGAGTCATGGGGGTGAAAGCAGAGGCCATGATATCAGGCAGGCAGGTGGGAAGGAAGAGGCCTCACCTGGGATGCCTTGCTGTGCACCCTCCGGTGGAGGGGTGGAATAGGCAAGGTGACTCTGGGAGGGCGGGCAAAGCGCCTGTCTGGGGTCCTTAGGGCCTGGAGGGACAGGGCTGTGGGTGCTGTCTGTGATTCAGTGCTGACTGAAGCCTGGCTGAAGCAGGAGGCAGTGCTGGTTAAAGCATTCTCGTCCTGGGAGTCTGTCTTTGTGGTGAAGGCCAAGGTGTTCCACTGCTGTGAATCCCTTCCAGACTGAATACCCTGGCATAGGTAGCATCAGATGGCCATGTCAGGTCTGGGATGAGGGGAGGGGCCATGGCTAGGGCTGGGGCTGGCCCCGTACTTACCAGCAGGGCAGGGCCATAGATCAGATACAGATAATTTTCAAAAGCTTCCTGATGCTGTTTCCAGGAAGGTGGAGGCTGAGCCACTGGGACTACTAGCCCTAGCTTCAACTGCTGAAGGTCTCGATCTCTGGTCTGTAGGGCCTCCAAGTCCTGAGGTGGGGATCAGAAGTCAGTTATACAGCCATGAGACTTGTTATATGCTGGCCAGGCCAGCCCAGGGACTGAGGGTTTGTGGCCTGGGCCTGGGCAAGGGGTAGGGCTGGGAAATGGGGTGATGAGGGGGTCAGGTCCTTCTGTACCTCCTTCACCACTGGCTGCTGAGGTGTTGCCATGTGGTGGTGGATGAAGGGAAAATCCACACTGCAGACAGGGACAGGGACAGTGAGATGCTAGGTGGCATTACCAGTGGAACAGGGCAGAAACTGGGACAAGGACCAGTCAGGAAAGGAGATGCCAAGTCTGGGATGGGTCTGTGGCAGCCTCTGAGGAACTCAGGAATTGTGAATTTTTATGCTAGGGGCTGTGTGAGGCTACCAGCAGACCTGAGGCTGGCCATGCCCTGCAAGTTGGTGAGCCTCTGCAGTTGCATGGGGGTCAGTGACTCCTGGTTGATCAGTGGTAGAGGAGGATCATCCACCACAGCAAGGGCCTTCTGATGCAGCTTCTAAGAGAGGAGAAAGCAAGAGGAGCTTATATCCTTGGATTCAGGAACTGTCTGCATGCAACGCCCTACCTTGCCCACTTTGCTCTCATGGCACACCTGGACCAGGTAGAATGTGGGAAGGTAGAGCCTGTGGGACACTAGGCAGAGGCTAGAGCCCAGTGCCAGCACCAAGTCTGCACTGTTGCTGCAGAAAGCCAGGGCCTGAGGGGCACCATCCAGCTGCAGGAGCCTGTAGGGGGTACCCAGAGGCCAGAGTTCAGTCCCTGCTCATAGAGGGGGAAATGAGGAGTGATGAGGGCAAGGCTCTGTCCCCCCCCCCACTGGGCTCTCATGGGAGGAAGAGGTGGGGAAAGCCCAACCAGCTGCCTCCAACCCCCAGCCTGCTCCCTGGGGTTCCAGCCCACCGCAGTAGGCGGTTCTCTGCAGTCCAGATGCGGATAGTGCAGTCCAGGCTGGCACAGGCATAGAGTTTAAGTGTTGGACAGCAACATAGCCCTGTAGGTTGGGTTGGCGTCAGAAACTAGACTGCTGACACGGGGGCCCAGGCTTCACCTCTGTTTCGATGTTCTCACCAGTGATGTGGTCCATCGGGTCATCCTGGGGCCGGTGGTCACAGCGCTGGCCCTCACGCAGGCCAAACTGTACCAGGCCGTAGGTGGCGCTGGCTGGATCCTCAAAGCCTACAGTGATTCGATTGCCCAGTGCACAGAGCCTCACAACTGGGTGACAGCAGGAAAAGGTGTGCAGCAGGCTCAGGCTCTCTTCAGCATAGGGGAAGATGCGCCATACCTTCACGGTCCTGTCTCCACCTGTGGATGGAAGAAGCCAGGACTGGACCTTCCTGGAGGGGAGAGGTTCCTGGACTGGCTTTGGGTGTGAGAAGGTACTGACCGGATGACACGATGTTGTTATAGGTGGACCCAATGGCGGTGACCGAGCCTGGACTGTGTGCTTTTATATGGAAGACGGTCTTCGAAGAGAGCCAGTCCAGCACGGACAGCGTGCCATCTGTGTGACCCATCACAGGCAGGTACCTGCCGGTGGCAATGGAGCTTGTTGGCACCGGCCCTGTTGCCAAGCGAATGGGGCTGGGATCACAACAGCCCAGAGGGGCCCAGGCACCCACCGGTTCTTGTTCTTCCAGGACCAGGCCATAGCGCAGCGGCGTGGGTCGCCCCCGTGTTGGCACACGACCTCCCAGCAAGAGAAGGCAGTGCCGGGGTCAGTGAGGTGGCTGTAGAGGTGCAGGCAGCAGGGCTTCGATGCAGGGGGCAAAGACGGGCATACGCGATGCAACACACTCATGGGGCAGCACGCTGCATTCACTCGCACCAGATGGCCGGTTTGCGTCAGGAGCCACAGCGCCTCCCGTGGCAGGCAGTAGGCCACCGCAGCCGCGCAGTCCTCCGGGTCAAGCCACAGGGTATTCACCATGCGTCCCGATGCGGCGGACACCAGGTGGACTGAACCATCTGCGCATGCACAAACGAGGCGTGTGGGCAGCAAGGGGTTTACAGGTGTGGGCAGCGGGGGCGCTACCTCTAGGTGTAGCACCCGCGCAGACAGCTGAGCCAGCGTCGAGTAGAGTTCACGCACTTGCCACAGCTCTACACTCCTGGCACACAGAGATAGCACCGGCCAGCCAGTGCCTGCAGGCGCTAACAAGCGGTTCACACGCCAGGACAGCGCGTCCTGCCTTTCGTAGCACAGGGCTGCTTCACCCACTTGCAACTCAGCTTGCAGGTCCCATGTGCGCAGCGTCCCATCCTGCGAGGCCGACACCACCAATGTGGTTTTTGGGAGCACAGTCATAGCTGTCACAGGGCCTGTGGAAAGGTACAGTCACTCTGGCACTCCTAAACTGAGGGAGGAGGAGCGGTTAGCCCCATTGCAGCTGACTAGGGCAGTCTAGCCTGGTCAGGCCGAGATCCCAGGCAACTGAACACTTTCAGAGTGGAGAGAATGTACTGCAAGAGCTGCTAGAGTGCCCGCACCTGTGTGGCCCACAAACACCATCCGGATCTGCCAGTCCATCTCCCACACCTTCACTGTGCTGTCTCGGGAAGCTGTCACCACTGCCTCCACCTCCTTGCAGTATACCAGGTCTGAGATGGTACTGGAGATGGGGAAAGAGGGGCCCGGCAGACTCAGCAGGACTATCTATGTGTGCGTGGCTCTCCCTAAGGGACCCACCTCATGTCCCCATGTCCCCCCTCACGTCTTGTGCAGATCCCGGCACACATGGATAAGAGCCCAGCTGTGCAGATCCAAAGTGAGCACCGCTGAGCCGTAGGCTGCAAAGCAATGTAGGCTGCGTTGGGCAGGTGCTGGCCCCAGAGCCAGCCTCTTGAGTGTGCCTTCTATGCCTGGCAGTGGCTGAACAATTGACCCACACTGTACCAGGCGGCGGCCACCTGAACGGAACTTCCAGAGTGCCAGGCCACCACTCATCTCAGCTACAAGCAACAGACCCAGTTTGGGCACTGGCAGGCAGCAAATGGGCTCATGTCCTGGTGCAATGCCCATCCCTATCTGGCTCGGCCACAGCAGGCCGAGGTTTGGGCCCAATATGGCTAGCCCAGCAGGACCCCAGCCTACAAAGCGGCCCACAGCTCCCAGAGGTACTGGCACAGCCACCAGTCCCGTAAGTGCTACAGGGGCCCTTAGCTTCTGTTGTGCCCAGCCGTCCTTTCTATGCAGGTGCAGGTGTCCTGCGCCGTCCAGCACCACAAAACGCCCGCCCTCTGGGTCTTGTGCCACCGAGTACAGCCCAGCTGCCACCTCCAGGCGGCGCAGTGGCTCCAGCCCATGTGTCAGACGAGCTGCACGCATTTCGGAGGTCTTCACCTGCGGGCCACCATGGACAGATCTTTGTTAAGGGCTGGGAGGAGGGGTTCTGCCCAGGGAAACGCAAAGGAACCGCCAGAGTCGTGCAGGTTACACCCAGGAAATGGGCTGGTCTGGAAAAGAGACCAGAAGGCAAATGCCGGGGGCAAGACACACCTTTTCCACAAGGTCGTGGAGGCCTGCGCGCAGGAGCAGCCACAGCTGGCGGGCGCGAGTGTGTAAAGTCATGTCCTGCCATCGCTGGCTGCTGGTAAAGAGCTGCTGGACCTGTGGCGGCTCCCGGAAGTAAAACTCTACAGACAGCCAGAAAAAGTCCTGTCACTTGTGGCCCTGAAGGTCACCAACAGTGCTACGCCAGTCAGGAATTGCCTGGAGAAGTTCCATTTCCGGGACAGAACAGAGCCCTTATGAGACCTGCTCTCTAAAGGGACATGGGGCTGGGGTGGGGTGGGGTGATCACCATTGTTTTCCAATAGCACCCCCGGGTCTGGGGTGTCATAGTTGTCGGCATCGTAGAAGTTCGAGTCTGGAATCAGGTTATCTCCCTCTGCTGAAAGGTTGCTGCTTGCGCCCAACGCTCCTGCCTCCATATTCACAGTTGTGTCCAACAGCTCCCAGGACCTAGCGGTTGCTTGAACGCGGAACGCGGCGGGCCCCGCCCCGACTCGGGGCCCGCCCCCACGCAGGCCCCGCCCCCACCTTATCCAGATCCATACTAAGTCACAGAAACTTTTATTGAAAACAAATGAGCTGCAGCAAAGTGACACTCAGTGCACGCGGTCCTCCTGGCAAAGTGGGGGGACAGATGGGCACCAGGGGCTGGCCCAAGACCAGAGCCGCTGACCACTAGGGCCTGCTGTGGAGCCTCAGGACACTGGCCCTTGGGGCTGGAGTGTGCAGACCCGGTAAGAAATACAAAAATAAACTCTGTGGTCCATCCCTGCTTATGGCAGTCCATCTGGGCAGGGCAGTCACTCTTCCCACAAGGCCCTGTGCTGTCTAGTCCAGCCACAGCATGGGCAGTAGGATCCTGCAAGGGTGAGTGGACACATCCACAGGCTGGTGCCAAAAGGCTAGGCAGGTGTGACCTTGCGCAGCACCAGGATTGTGGCAGCGCCAGGGTATGGCCATCAGCTGGGGAGGCCCTAGGCCCCTCAGGCGGGCAGGTCCAGGCATTGGTTGAAGCTGAATGAAGCTGGGGCCTCTGTTCCTCTCATCACATACAGATCACTGGGACCCTGGGCAGAGAGATTGACACAGCAGGATTTGAAGTGCCACTACCCAGCAGACCAGGCATGCAGTCCTGATCTATCCCACCCATTCCAAGGATTGGGGCCACCACTACGTACCTGTCCTCCTCCACAGTGCTGGTCTCCTCAGCCCCACCCTCACTGCCTCCGCCTCCACTTTCTTCCTCCACCTCTTCCTCCCCCAGTTCCATGTCCAGTTCATTGCCTGCCTCTGAGGGTGTGTAGGTGGAACCACTGGGTAGGGAAGTGGGAAAACCAGTCTTAGGACCACCTATCCCAGGCCTGCTGTTGGTCCAACAGAGGATGTTCAGATAAAACATGGTTGGGGTGGTTGGGCACAGCTGAGGAAATGGTACGGGCCCAGGGAGCTCAGGGAAGGGAGGTGAGTGGTACAAACCTGATGGAGCGGCAGCTGAAGAAGACAATTCGCTTTAGTCGTTTGTTGTAGAAGAAATAATTGAAGGACCAGAGACTGCCATCCTCCCCAAAAGGGTCTGAGTCCAAGTCTGGGTTATAACTGGGGAGTGGGGCAAGAAGTAATGTGAGCTCCCAGTGCCATATACACCCGGGGAACATACCTGCAGGGACTTGGCATACCTGTAAATGTCACATTCAGCCAGGCAGATCTCTTCATCCACTGCATTCCAAAGCTGTGGCTTCAGGTCCTTGAAGTCCTCTCGCACAGCAGAGAACAGGCTGCAGTTGACGGCATTCACCACCTAGGACAGGTCATGTCAGGGCTGACAGGGGTTCAGGACAGCAGATGTGGACTAGACAGAGCCCAGGAACCACAGGAAGTTGGGGATTGCAGCAGGGATGGCTGTGGGGCTCTGGGTCCCTCCACCCAATCCTCACCCAGCTGAGGCTGGGCTCCCGGCTGAACTCATGGCTTCGGGCCGTGCTGAAGTCATAGTCTGGCCTGAAGGACTCATTGAGTGTGGCAATCAGATAGAAGAGAGTCTTTCGGCTGCACTTGTCGCTGAGGGGGCCTTCATCCTCACCACCCTGGCTCTTGCTCAATCTGTACAGAGACAAACATCAGCCTAGCCCATCATCCCACAGCCTGGAAAAGGCAGGCCCCACCTCAGCTCACCTGCTGGGGCTGAGGCCGGAGGTCTGGGGTGGGGACAGTGCCTCCAGTACATGGGGCTGGCCCTCCTGGCAGAACTGCTTGAACATGTGCTTGTCGTCTCCCGCCATCTTACATGAGTAGCTCTCAATCCTATGGGATGCAGACCATGGAGCATGCTGGCCCTGCCAGGTTCAACTAAGGAGCCAGGGCAGTGATCTTTGAGACAGTGGCCCCCAGAGCCTCTGGCCTCACCTGCCAATGATGTGGGCATCTCCAGTCTCCACAGTTAACTGTGAGTTGATGGCCTCAAAGCTGGAGTTCTCCAACAGCTTCATGACCTTGGGGAGGGGACTCCTTGTTCCAGAGGGGCTAGTGCTGCCTGTGGATGTAGGAAGCCAGGCAATGTGTATCTGGCCCCATGGAGTTCTGCTTTTAGCCCTTCTACCCGCTAAGCAGAACACTATGCACAGATGGCTCTGGCCTATGTCCAGGCTTCACACAGCTCCTCTCCCTCCTCCAGCCAAACCTCAACACTCAGCACTAGTTCGAAAATGATGCGATCCTGTTACCTGAAGGTGGCAAGCCCAGGCTTCCAGCTCAGCCATATCCTCTGCATCTCGAAAGGCACGGGGACAACTCAAGACTCTGCTCACCTTGGGGCTGCTGGACCAGTCCCTCACTCAACTCTCTCCCCCCATCCTCATCCAGAAAGAGGGGCACCCACCCACCATGTGAGTCACTTTACCCGCTCCAAGGGCTATGACTCCTGCAATCACCCTTACAGGCCAGGGTAAGAACCAGAACAGCTGAAGCTCCGGCCCTGCAATCACCTGGATGGGCGCCCTTCTGTTCTATGGGCCGCTTTTCTAGCAAGGAGGGAGGAAACCCCACAGGTTCCTACTCTGCAAGCACATCTAATCCCTTCGTACGTCAAGGAGTGGAGAGAGCCCCCCACCGTCCCGCTAGCGTGCTGCAGCATCGGCCGGCCCGGATGGGGAACCAGCCGAGCTGCAGCGGAACCACAAGTCCCAGCAGGCAGTGCGGCGAGCGAGGGGTTCCTGCCAAGCTGCCACGGAACTACGAGTCCCAAGAGGTAGTGCTTCGGCGCGAGGCCTGCTGGGCGCTGTGGTTCCGGCGGCCACGGACGTCGCGGGCTCAGGGCGGACACCCACCTGCCTGGGCTTGGCAAGATCGGGCCGGCCAGGCTGCTCGGCGTCGGTGTCGGACAAAGGCGTGGCGGGCTTCGCGCGGTGCGGGCTCCTCAGAGCCTCAGGGTGGCGCCGCGGCCTCCGCTCGGGCTGCGTCGTATCCGGGGGAAGAAGCTCCGCGGCGACGTCCCGTTACTCCAGGCCCTGCCGGCCCATCCGGGCTGCCACCGCGACATAGCCTCGCCCCCCTGCACAGCGCTCACTCTTGCGACCGACCTGTCGTCGACCGACACAGAGCACCACAGCGAGCAAGCAAACCAGCGACCTCCGCTTCCCTCGTCCGGACAACAACAAGCGTCCGGCAGACCCGGCCCCACGCCTCTGAATGGCCCGCTTCAGCCTCGGGCTCGAAAGCGCGACCAGCCATTGGGAGGCTCCCCGTCGCTCATTCTACCTTCCCCTCCTACTGGACCTGAGCCCTGTCTGTCACTCTCTCGACCAAGCGAACCCGCCTCCCGCCCCGGCGCTCATTGGCCGGAGCTCCGCTCCGCCCTGAAACGGCGGCTACCGGGTCAGTAGCCCGGACACCGAGGCGGGTTGGAGGGAGTAACCGGCTGTGTATCTGGCTCTGTCCCAGAACTGGGACTGCAGCCTCTACCCGTCTGAGCCTCTGAGGCGAATAGCCCGTGGCCGCTTTCCGTTTGTGGCTGGTGCTAAGGACTCTGACCCTGCCTCCGATACCCAACTCAAACATGACTCTCGGGCCTTGTACATCCTCAGACACAGAAGGGCCACGTTTGGCCGGTGCGCGGCCATGGGTCCCCTCCTGAGTTCAGACAATCTGGCTACGCCCGGAACCCCGGAACGTAGTCTCATGGTCAGAGTTTCTGGTCGGCGGAGGCGCCCAGCGGTCCGACCAACGGAAGCGGGCTCGGAGGGTCGGGGACTGAGCGGACTAGAGATGGCGCCGCCGGCAGGTGGGGCGGCCGCAGCCGGGGACCCTGGCTCGGCCACGGTCCTCCTGGCTGTGCACGCTGCAGTGAGGCCCCTGGGGGCTGGGCCGGATGCAGAGGCGCCGCTGCGGAGGCTGCAGCTGAGCGCAGACCCCGAGCGGCCCGGGCGTTTCCGGCTGCAACTTCAGGGCGCGGGACCTGGGGCGGTGAGTGAGAGTTGGGCAGCTAGCCCAAGGTTAGGCCCTTCTGCCAAAACACTGCGTGCTCTTCACCAGTTACTTTTCTTTGCTTGTCTTACTCTGTTAAATAGGGATAATGCTAATACATGCTTGTAAGTGGCCTGTATATGTGCACCATGCAGTTCAGAGTAGGAGACCACTAAGCCTGGACTTTCTCCCTCCTCAGGTCAATTTGGAGTGGCCCTTGGAGTCAGTCTCCTATACCATCTGCGGCCCCAGCCAACATGAGCTGCAGCCTCCGCCAGGAGGGCCTGGAACCCTCAGCTTACACTTCCTCAACCCTGAGGAAGCTCAGCGGTGGGCAGCCCTGGTGCAAGGCGCCTCCGCGGAGGGACAAAATGGTCAGTCGTTGGAATTAAGGCTCATTTAGAGTAGCCCTGGCCGCTCAGACAGGGGTGGGGCAGTGATGGGGGAAGCTGGACGACTCTGAAGGCTCCCAGGAGGAAGAATGTAGAAATGTGGAGAAAGGTAGAGATTGAGGAGCGGCAGGCTGAAGTACCAGATAAGCGGGGCAAGGCATGGCAAACCAGGGCCACAGAACCCCAGTGCGAATGAAGAGAAATTAAGTTCAAGAGCAACCGGGAGGGTATTCAGAGGAAGAGTGACAGGCTTAGATCTCTGCTACTTAATATATGGGGTGGTCCTGATAGGGCTGCAGAGGAGGAGGTGTAGAGCTGGGACTCTCCAGACATCAAGATAGAATGTAGAAAAGGTCAACCAAAGTCACCAGGAGAGAGAATCCTAGAAAAAAAGGGCTGGCATTCAGATAGTGGAGGTTTCCAGAGATTTTAAGGTGATGGAATTAGCCGAGTTTCATGGCTGTTTAAATGCAAGGGTTAGTAGTTAAGATTGAGAAAGATGGAGGAGCCGGGTAGTGCAAGGCTTCTAGACAGAATCTGGTTGGGAGGGTGTGGAAGTTTTCACACACTTGGTGTAGAGCTGGGACTCTCCAGACATCAAGATAGAATGTAGAAAAGGTCAACCAAAGTCACCAGGAGAGAGAATCCTAGAGAAAAGGGCTGGCATTCAGATAGTGACCTGGGGAGAGGAAGGATAGCCCACAAATGGGACAGAGGAAGGAAGACAACCAGATAGTGTAATGTAAGAGAGCCCTAGGCAACTCTGCATTGAAAAAAGGAGAGGCACATTCATTCACCAAAAGTATGTACTCAGCTCCTGGTCTGGCTGAATACTGGACAGACACTTCTTTAGCCCAAACAAATTCTCAAATCCCTGTCCTCTTGGAGCTTACATTTCTAGCGGGGAGACAGACATAAAATCAGTAAATAAGCTTCCATTAGATAGTGGAGGGAATGAAAGTGCTGGAGGGAGGACTGGCTACTACTTAATTCTGTTGTTGTTGTTTGTTTTTTTGGTGTCAGGAATTGAACTCAGGACCTTGCACTTCCCAGGCAGGCGCTTGTGCGGCTGAACTATATCCCCAGTAGGGCTGCTACTTAAAATATGGTGGCAGGAAAGGCAGCCTTGAGAGACTGACACTTGAGGGAAATTTGAAGGGCGTGGTATAAGCCATGTGACCCCTGGAATAGCAAGTATAAAATCCTTGAAGGGAGTGTGTGCAAATGACCCTTAAGGCACAGGCACAGCACCAGGTGCTTGAGGGCTCTTCTGATCTTAGTGGGAAGACAGTTCAGAATATCAAGGAACAAGACAATCACAAGTGTTAGCACTGGGTGTGGACACCTCATTGCAGCGGTCTGGCCTCAAGCAGGTGGTAACAAGGCATACATCAGTGTGCCTGACTCTAAGGATCCCCAAGGCAGGGACCCCAAATGGGTTCTGTGTAGATGGTGAAGCCAGGAGATGAGAGGCCACTGAGGTCACCAAGAATAGGTCACTGACTACAGGACTACTGTTGGGCACGAAGGGTCTGACCCATCTTTGATTTTGCTGTATGGAGGAGGGACACAGGTGAGAACAGGCAGTAAAAGGGTTCAGTACTCCAGGTCCCAAATGTGAGCCAAATGTAGTTCCAGCACCAACAGAAGTTGGCCAGGGCTCTCTAAAGGGTTTACAAGAGCCAGAGCTGGGAGGAGAAAGTGTGTCTTTGAAGTATGGCCTGAGACAGGACCGACATAGGCTGAGAGAAAGAGGGAGAAGACAAAGTCCCAGAAACCTGAGGGCAAAGAAACCTGGGCAAAGGCTACCAGCCACTCCACATCTCTTTCCTAGGCAGTGGCAGCCTACCCCCAGCCCTGGGCCCAGAAATATGCCCTGTTTCCCCGCCCTGTCCCCCTGTGGTCCCAACACTCAAAGCACCCCAATCTCAGGCAAATCTGACCTGGAGCGCTGGAGACTTGTTGGAGAAAGGTAAGGACAGGCAGCCAGAGGGGGCTGGGGGAAGTAGCTGGTGTCTGACTGTGACAGCTGTCCTCTTATCTCTGTAGAAGAGCTAGCTAGGCACCTGGCCCAGGCCATTGCAGGTGGAGATGAGAAGTGGGCAGCTCAAGTGGCAGCAATCCTAGCCAAGCATCATGTGGCCCTCAGTGTCCAGCTCCCGGCAGCCTGCTTCCCACCTGGTCCTATCAGGTGAGGCTGGGTCTATTTCACTCTGCCCTTCTGATGCTCCCAGGTTCCTCGCCCAACCCCTAGCTTATTTTCTGGCCTAGGTTGGAGGTCACAGTTGAAGATGCCACGTCTGGTGCGTCCTCTGCATCCTCTGCCCACATCTCGCTGAAGGTCCAACCCCACTGTACCATTGCAGCTCTCCAGGAACAAGTGAGCATGGGATCAGGGAACCCTGTGGGGGTGTGTGTGAGAACCTGCCCAGCCTTGATGCTCTGTCCACAGGTGTTCTCAGAGTTTGGCTTCCCACCTGCTGTGCAGCGCTGGATCATTGGGCGATGCCTGTGTGTCCCTGAACGCAGTCTTGCTTCCTATGGGGTCCAGCAGGATGGGGACCCTGCCTTTCTCTACCTGCTTTCAGCCCCCCGAGAAGCCCCAGGTGAGTCCTTGATGGTGATGAGGGATGGTGGGTGTAGCTGGAGACAGCCCTGAGCCCCCCTCCTCTCCCACAGGACGCAGCCCTCAATGTCCCCAGAAGATGGATGGGGAACTAGGACACTTATTTCCCCAGACATTGGGGCTGTCCCAAGCCCCCCAGCCAGCCAGTTCCAGTCTTCCCAGCCCCCTTCAGGTGGGCAAGGGACCAGTATGGGCAGGGGTGGGCCAAGCCTGGGCAGCTGTGGTCACTGAAAGGAGCAGAAGAGCATCACATCTCTCCACCTCTCCAGCCTGGCTGGCCCTGTCCTTCCTGCACCTTCATCAATGCCCCAAGCCGCCCAGGCTGTGAGATGTGTAGCACCCAGAGACCCTGCGCTTGGAATCCCCTTCCTACAGTCTCCTCCTAGGAACTATCAAAGGTACAAGAGGCTAGGGGGTGGAGGTGATGTGCAGAACAAATAGGAATGACCTGTCTCTTCCCCCAGGTTACAGACAACATGGGCCTTGCCTCACAGATCCTGGATCACCTCTTGAACTTGGTGACTTCCACTGGCTGCTCATTGGGGATAGAGCTACCAGGGTTGGGGGTAAGGGCCATGGGCCAGTCATTAAAAACATAAGCCAGTTCAGTGTCCCTTTCTCTGTGTCAGTGAGAACTGTCTCACCCGAACTAGAAAACTGGAAGGTGTCAGGGCAAATCAGCAGGTGGGGCTTCCCTAGCCAGGCCCAGGTAGTTACTGAAGAGTGGACTTGGACTCAAAGTCCCAGTAGTGATGGGGCACTAGGATATCTCTGCAGACCCCATGACATGTAGTTACTTATTCCCCTGGCTGCTGCCCACTCGTCTGGGGCTGCTGAGGGTTGCGTGCCCCAGCCTCTACCATCAACCTTGCCTCCAGCTGCTATCTACCAGACACTGCCCAGACTTTAGCCTGCTCCAGTGAGGATACACCAACAGAGAATGAGTATTTTTCTTCCCCTTATAAGGACAAGGGAAATTCAAGAGCTAGAAGCCCCAAGTCAAGGTGCAGAACTACTGCTGAGGTCATACCTACTTGACCTTCCTGTCAGTGTCCTCTGAGGTACCCACATAGCTTGTGAGCTGAACCACTTAAAAGTTGTCTGAGCCAGGATGGTGGCACATGTAGGAGGCTGAGGCAGGAGGATTGTTACAAGTTTGAGACCAGCCTGAGCTACAACCAGAGCTCAAGGCCAGCCTGAACTGCATACCAAGACCCTGTCTAAAAAAAAAAAAAAAAAAAAAATAGTCAGGTCTTGACTCAACAATTTGCCCTGTGGATTGGGCCCACATTCCATGAAAGTCACTAACACCACCACATATATCCCAAGAGAATACCCCAGTACCCTTTCTCTGTCTACTCTGATTTCCTAACATGGCTAGAAGCTCCCTATTCTCCTAAATACCACTTGACTCAGTTCAGCACAGTAGCTCCAGGCCTTCCTGTAGGTGAGATGGTAGTGCCCTCTGGATTATGGGCTGAGTGGTTCAACAGCCTGACATTATATGGCTCATTCTAGCAATTTCTTGCACCCCTGGGCCATGGCCAACCCAGTCAAGCCCTTTCGTTTCTGTGCCAAGACATACACCCTGCTGAATGCTGCCTCCTCCGTAGCCAGTCCTCTGCTTTCTGCTCCACACCCATCAGTGTCTGTTCTCCCAGATAGGAGGCAGGGCTGGCCAGAGTGCCTGGGACTTCCTGTAAAGGTGTGGGTCTTAATACTAAAATCCCTTGTGAGCCTATCACATAGCAGCTCAAATGTGTATGTTGAACAATTTAATTTATTCCCAAGTTGAGGGCTGAAAGAAGGTCTGGAGCAAGAGGCAGATCTCCTGCCCTCTCCCCTTGACCCACATAAAGACAGGCTCGGCAGAGGGGGCCACCCGAGGCCTGGGATGGCTCCTGGGCTTGAGGGCCTGTTCAGGCAAGATGGCAAACAGAATGTTGGACAGGATCATTTAGGAGGCCGATATGCCAGCTTTCGACTCTTCAGGACAGACCACTTATGCCGTTTCATTGCGTAGATCAGCGGCAGCAGCAAGCCCATCATCATCAACATCTAGGGACAAAGCAGGCTCAAGAGAAGAGTCACAGGAAAGATCCCTCCCCACCCCTCTTTGATGCCTACTGTAGCCCTTTGCCCAACCAATCACCTTGAGCCCCATCCGTTTGCGATGATCATGTTCTGGCTCAGATGCCCAGCGCAGGAAGGTGCACACATCCTTAGCTACCTGGGACATGGTAGCTGGGGTGCCTAACCCAAAGACAAACGATGAGCACTATCCTCAGGGGTTAGTACCCAACCTGGTGCAACCTACTCCATGGAGCCAGACTAGTTCCTACCCAAAGCTTGAAAGGAACAGCATCTCACAGGACTGTGAAAGCTACCCCAAACCCTCCTCAGACAGAACCCTCAAGCCAACAAAAGGGCAGGATCTCCCAGGGGCAAGGGACACAGAAAGCATCTGGGGGTAGAAAAGGATTTAGTGAAGGACTTACCATCATCAAACTCCAAGACATCAGTGTAAATGGGAGGGGCCATACCAATGGCCTGGCCAGGGAAGTAGGGGTTGAAATAGAGGCCTTCTCGCAAGGACACCCCAGTGGGTGGCTCGCAGTAGCCCGTGAGCAAGGAGAAGACATAGTCTTCACCACCGTGCCTGGAATCAGATCCATGGCTCCTCAGCCCTTGGCAAGTCAGACCCTCCTCCTTTCCTCACCCTCTCTAGTCCATGTACCTAGCTCGCACGATGTAGCTGAGATCAGGGGGTAAGGCTCCATTGTTGGCAGCTCTGGCGGCCTCAGGATTTGGGTATGGTTTAGGGAAGTAATCAGACAGCTTTCCTGGTCGCATGAACATCTCCCCATCTTCATTGGGGCCATCCTGGACCTCCACCTGCCACCAAGAACCCCATCACAACCCTGCCATGCCACCAGAGTGGGAGCCCCAAGCCTTGGGTGTGAATCTCCCAGCCCCACACCTCCTCAGCTAACGCCTTAGCTTCTTCCTCGGTGTAGCACACGCCCACGAGGTGGCGGTAAGCCACGTAGTCCATGCTGTGGCAGGAAGAGCACACCTGCTTATATACCTGGAAGCCCCTCCGGATGCTGAAGAAAGAGAGAAAGGTTAGGGGCACTTAACATTCCACACTACCCAGTCCATCGGGATGCTCCCCCAGCCAGCCAGTTAGCTGCAAACCTGGTGTGGTCCAAGGAGGAGAGGAGGCCACGGTGAGACCATGGATAGCTGGGGGGGTGCAGCTCCAGATCACTGGCACTCACAGCAGAATGGAGAGCCACAGCCAGCCCTGCACCCCCTGCCGCCAGCATGCCCAGCGCTGACAGCATCACCTTCCGGCCGCGGGAAAGACCAGACTTCGAAGACAAGGACACTGCCTGCAAAAGCCCCACTCAGCGCCTGCTAGGACACCACCCGCCGGCCTGGGGATCCGACTCGGTGTCTGCTCCCTACCACGCACCGGCCGGATCACCGCCGCAGGACGCGGGGGTGGGGGTCAACAGGCCCGCTGGCCCCAGGGCTGCAATTCAGCTCCGATCTTGAGCCGGCGTCAGGCCTAATGACAGAGCGTGCTGCGCCGACCAAGGTCACCGTCAGCCGGCCGAGGTTAGGCTGGGGTCACCTCCGGACGCAAACCCAGTGTAGACCCCGGCGCCGGGCACCGTCCCCGGCAGACCCTCGGGGAGCTCTCAACCACGGTCTGCCCCGCGCCCTGCACCGGGTCCCAGTGCTGGGCTATCAGAGAGCCGCGGAGCCCCCACTCGGGGGCGGGGGCGCCGCATGGGGACCGCCCTCCCGCTACCCGCGAGTGCCCGGAGCCTCCCTGCCGTG